CCCTTATCATTTTTCTCTCCAGTCTGAAATGTATATTCTTTGTTTCTCAGTTCTCAATACCCTTTGTGGACCAATTGACTGACTGAAGGTAAAACTCCTTGACATAAATTACAACGAGTCTGCCAGCCCCTCAGCTCCCCACCCTCATTTACCCACAACCTACATCAAACCGCACTCGGCCACCCGTTCATTCTCATCTTTAAGTTAATGCATCTATACTAATTTCTCTAATTACTAATTGGCCCCCTTTCAAAACTCAGCTGTGGACTCATCTCCTCCAGGAAAATTTTCCCACTCATGAATGCACAGAGCATTTCATTCCAAACAGAAGAAAAAAGAGAATCATTCCTCTACCCTTTATTAATGTATTCATCAACACATACTATAAAGGCCAGGTACACTGCCCGGCTGGGAAGAAAAAATGGATGAGGCAAGACAGACCTCACAGTATTTCAGTGTTGCCATACTGTGCCTTTGGATCCCTCAACCCACTCATGCTGACTTTATCATAGTCTCCTCTTTCCCTGGGTTTAGAAGAAGCAACAGTTCTCCTCCCTAGATATTCATTTTTTGTGCAGTCCCTCTGTCAGCCCCTTGCCTCCTACCACATCATATTGAATCCTACGGCAAGTCTGAATGATGTTTTTCTCTGTTTCAGAGGCGTGGGTTTGGGGGCAGGGAACATTAGAGGGCAGACCTAGTATGCTAATCCCTCCCGTTAATCCAGTCCAGAGCAGAGCCATTTTCCAATCCTCATTTCCAAACAGTGTGATGTGTGAGGAGGCCCAGGTGCTGCTCCGTGACAAGTGAGTATGTAACCACACACTGTGAAGCACACGTCCACTCCCTGTGAGACGCTCAGCAAAATAATGGCATTAATCCTTCCCTCTTGCACAGCTAGAGGAAGCTTACGAAACATGCTCACATGTATTCTTTTTCAGACCTCAGCGTTAATCACAGATGAAGAAGGTGAAACTCAGAGAGTAAAGCAGTGTCCAAAGTCCTATAGCTAATAAATGACAACGTTTCAATTTAAACCTAAGTCTCCTGGCTCTGAAGTCCAATGTTCACTGCATTCTACTGCCTCCAAATGCTGGTTGTTCTCGAATAATCTTGTTGGGTGTCAAAAGAACCTATTCAGGGATTCTTTATTTCCTTTTATGAGAATTTTTTTCCTTTTTACAAAGCCTTCCACTTCAAGGCCTAAGAATGATGGTTTCTTTAAAAGAAGACACCAAAAAACGTTATTGTGAATTAGATGAAGGTTTATCACGTAGAGCATCAGTTTAACAGCCGGCAATTTACACACATTTTGTTCCAACTCCTCCACTACAAGCCCCTCAGTGCACCATCCCTTATCCCACTTCTTCCCTGGGTTTCCTCTCACCGCCATTCCTCATTCTTTCCTAACTCTCCGAACACTGATCTTAAATGGGTGGCTAGTCTGTCATGGGGGTTCAGGTCCATAGCTGAAGGAGTGGCTAATGGTTAATCTGATCTCGTCGATGAATGTGAGTTTTGTTCTACATTGTCTCCCACTTCACCTAAGGCCTTCCAATGTGATCCTTTTCAGAGTGGTTGGTAGTGGCTGCCAAGCACCACCTGGTTCTTCTGCTCTCAGGGTGTGCAGATGGTTGTCGGTGTGGCCCCTTAGTTCACCGGACTGATTGCTTCAAGGTACCTTTCAGTTTTCATAGCTCTTCTGTCCTCCGATGGGGAGAGACCAACAGCTGCACCTTATGAACTTGCAAGACACCACTTGCACCTCAATGAAGTAGAACGTAGAGCACTGTTTTCGCGAACTGTGTCAATATACTGTGGTGTCCCGAGATGTTGGTCTTGATCTCCCGAATGAGCTCAGTGACTCATTTCCTGAAGGTATTTGGTGATGTCTACGAAGTGTTCCCAACTTTTCACAGTGTGTGCCATATTTGTGGCAAAGATAAATAATACAAATATTCTCTGCCAATCTATATATATTTGAGGGTACACTAACACAAAAATGGGTTTTGTTTTTGCCACAATCAACAGATTCCAATAGAAGGCAGTATAATATAGTAGCAAAAGTAAAGATTTGAGTCAGACAAATATTTTTCTCCATATGCACATAGTCTTCTAACCCAAGAAGATATAATATAGAATAGCTGTCTTTTTTTTCAATCGTTTTATTAGGGGCTCATACAACTCATCACAATCCATACAAATATCACTTGTATAAAGCACATTTGTACATTCATTGCCTTCATCATTCTCAAAACATTTGCTCCCCACTTAAGTCCCTGGCATCAGGTCCTCATTTTTTCCCCTCCCTCCCCGCTACCCCCTCCCTCATGAACCCTTGGTAATTTATAAATTATTATTTTGTTATATCTTGCCCTGTCCGACGTCTCCCTTCACCCACTTTTCTATTGTCCTTCCCCCAGGGAGGAGGTCACATGTAGATCCTTGTAATCGGTTCCCCCTTTCCAACCCACTCTCCCTCTACCCTCCCAGTATCTCCACTCACACCACTGGTCCTGAAGGGATCATCCACCCTGGATTCCCTGTGTTTCCAGTTCCTATCTGTACCAGTGTACATTCTCTGGTCTAGCCAGACTTGCAAGGTAGAATTCGGTAAAATAGCTGTCTTTAACTATGCTTAAAGCTAAACAAACAAACAAAAAAATCCCAAATCCTTTGCCACTGACTCAATTCCAACTCCGTCCCTCGTATCTGATCTCATGCCCCTGGCCTTGTCCTGATGTGTACTACTTATGAAAGTTTCTCATGGTTTGGCCTGTTACTGCCAATTTCCCTCAACTTCTCCAGGGTCTTTGTACAATCACCACCACGTGACAGTGTGTTTGCCTTCCTATGGTTCATCTCTTCAGCAGAAAACTCCCAAGTCTTCATTGCTTACACATCAGCCTCACATCCTCCTTCTCAACGTCCACATCCCCTCAATTCTATCTAGCCTTCTCCCAGGCTGTCCTTCACAACCAGCACTAATAGCTAATCCTAGACTGAGCTCCCGAGAACATTCAATGTCCTATTTCCTAGTGAACAGGGTAAACACGGGCTTACTTAGGCTTATTTACTGGTCTGTAGTGAACAATATCACATGTTCCCCATATAAAAAATTCCGCTTCTGGGTATGGCTGGCATCAGTCTGCCACCCAACTCCACAACACCTTCCTACATAATCAAAGCCTCTTTTCAAATATACAATCACTGATAGGGATTACCATGCGTTCCTGCTTTCTTGGGTAATTCACCCCTGAGAACAGTAAATAAAGGCTTGAATTGAAATGGCTAAAATTGAATGGAAGGAAGAAGCCCCAGGGAAGGTTGTCAATAACTCAGTTACCAGGGAAGAGCACAAACCACTCTGTTAAAAGTCAGGTCCTCGTGGTAAGAGTGGTGATACCAGGAGGGAGGAGGGAGAGTGGAATGGAAAGGGGGAACCATTACATATAACCTCCTCCCTGGGGGACGGACAGCAGAAAAGTGGGTGAAGGGAGACATCGGACAGTGTAAGATAGGGCAAAATAACAATTTGTAAATTATCAAGGGTTCATGAGGGAGGGGGAAAGTGAGGAGCTGATGCCGGGGGCTGACGTGGAGAGCAAATGTTTCGAGAATGATGAGGGTAACAAATGTGCTTTATACAATTGATGTATGTATGGATTATGATAAAGAGTTGTATGAGCCCCCAATAAAATGATTTTTTTTTTAAAGTCAGGGTCCTAGAATTTATAAGTACAAGGGTCCATCAATGAGGAACTCCTCTCTGCTCTGAAGCCTGTGACCAAGGTCATCTAGAGCTGCCCTCTGTTTCCTTATGAACCTCTGTTCTGTAAAATGAACTTCCCCTGCTAATTTGATGCCACATTTGCCCAGGCAAACCAGTTGTGCGGGCCTGGACCTAAATGTGTAACACTCGGTGTGGGTGCTCCACCAGCTTTGCTACAGATGTAGGTCAGGAAAGACCCACATGGCATGGGCAAATATAAAATCATAGAAATTGAAAAGGGGTCTAGAAATGTAAGTTCAAGTGCAGATGCTATTTAACCTCTCTCCCTTTCTGCTATCTGTAGCTGGAAAATGGGAAAAATAATAATAGGGCCCACTTCACTTCAAGTAGTGTTAGAAAGAATGAAATGTTGTGCAACTTGGGGAAGTATTCAGTAATGTGTTCCACACAAGGTAAGAGTTCAAGTATTCGCAGCTATTATTTTCATTATAAGGAGTCCTGACAGCCCTGGATTGCTAACCAAGAGGTCAGTGGTTCACTGCCTCAGATACCCTGCACAGGCCACTGTGATCACGAAGAGTTGGAATTGACCCAATGGCACTGGGTTTGGTTTTTTAATTCACTTTGTCATAAGAAACCAATGAGATTGGCTTCTGCATAAAACCCCATGCAAATGAGTTACATCCAAGTTCACTCGCGCATAGTGACCCTATTATTGGATGGGGTACGACTACTCCTTTGGGTTTATTGAGCACCGCTTTATTGTGCTGCCTTATTTAAAAAAATGCGAGTTGGGGGCAACCCTGCCATAGTAAAACAAGTCTATCACCTCCCCACCACACACACACACACAGCTTGTGCTGACTTTCTGTCTCTGTGTCACGTTTTGGAAATTCTTTAAATATTTCAAACTCGTTCATAGTGGTATTGCATACTTAACAGACTTCAATAAACATAGCTTTCGTATGCATTGTATGCAAAAATGTGTGTGTGCCTATGTCGCAGCGGTCTGGGGCCAAACCTACAATATCTCCGAGCATGATCACACTTAGAAGTCTCTGGCCCCTGGCCCCGGGTAGGGAGGTGGGGAGGTGGGGAGCTTGGGTCCCGCTAGCACTTGTTCAGGCTCAGCGTCTGTAGCCAACCCTGGGGAAGGGCTCCTTCCATCCTCCAGAAGTCTCCTGCCACCATGCCCGGGGGGCCCTGGACAGCGCTGCAGAGGAAGAGGGCCAGGGGACAAAGGGTTGCAGGCGGAACAAGGACCTACCTGCTTTCACTGCACTCCTTCCGCTCCCGGACCCTCAGCCACTTTCGGAGCAGGAAGCGCTTTCGGCGCGGGGAAGCGCTGGGCGTGGAGCAGCTGGACCACGGCGTGTCCTCGTCGCTGGAGGGAGTAATCTCGATGGCCGGCAGCTGCAGGAACTCTTTGCCAGGGGCCAGGACCCTGGGCAAGTCCCGGGCCAGCCCGGCCTCCAGGCTCTGCTCCTGCACGTTCTGCGTGCGGCGCATCTTGAAGCGCCGGCGGCGGAGCGTGGGGGTGGACGAGCTGGACCAGACCGGGCTGCCTGCGGGTGCCGCCGGCGGCTCGGGCACCTGCAGGGCGGGCGGCTGCAGGCTCTCCATCATGTTGGCCGCCGGCATGGGGCCCCGTGGCTGCGCGCGCGCTCCCCAGCCCCGGCCCTGGGCGTTAGGAAGTCCGCGCTCGGCCCGGAACTAGCTCCTCGTCCCCGGGCGTCGCGAGGAAGCCCGGCTCGGCACCGGGGCGCGGCCGCCGGAGTCCAACTTTGGGCGCCGAGAGCGGCTCTCCGCCGTCGGC